TATATACATAAACTTGCTACTCGCCCCGGCTATCTATTAAAAAACCGCTTCAAAATCCGTTGCGTAGTTTTAAAGATTTAAGCATACATAGGGACGGACAGACAGCGACAGCGAATTTGTTTTATACTATGTAATACTTTATGCAAAATTAAAAGTCACCAGATTCACAGGTCGTGTGAATCTGGTGACTTTTAATTTTGCTGTCTAAGTCCGGGTAAGACAACAAACTAATTAAAACTAATCAAATATTTGTTTAATTATAAAGTCATTAAAATATAATATACGATTTAATAACTTATATAACGAGTAAACTGCCTATATAAATATAAAACCCTAGCAAACTGAAAACATTAATATTTTCTCATATCTGTAGCGACCTCCGCAAACAACACTTGAATCCCTAATAAACCGACTAATTAACGAGGTACATTCAAGCATCCAGTGTCACTACGGTGACAACGTGCATTTGTAAAAATCCGGGTAATATTTTGCTTTGGCAATATTCTTGCAGTTCATTATAGGTACATATCTTATATCATCCTCCACTGGTGTCCCGCCAACTTACATCGCAGCGCAGGCAGGTGCAACATTCATTATCAAAAAGAAACACCAAAACGAAAGGAACTTCCCCTCTATTTTTGAAGTTGGTTAATAAAAAGGACTTTAACCAAATAATAACCACTAAATAATTTGATAGAACACATAATGTTGGAATAAAGTAGTCCATAGAAAAATATTTAGAAGCATGGTCAACCGACAAACAAGTCAAGTGTGCAATTAGCGTGTAGTTTTATGATTATATCTTTCCCTTTCACTCGTATAATAGAACTAGTGTTAGAGTGAGTCAGCAAATGCATTCTGACATCTGAATATATGTAGAGACAATGAGAAAATGTTGAATTTTCCATTTCAGTAACGAAATGGGAAGTTTTTATATGAGATGTACTATTTCACTACTATGTTAAAGACTGTGTCAATTAAATTACGTTTTTTTTTTATTTTTATATCACGTAGGTGGCAAATAAGCATACGGCTCATCTGATGGTAAACGGATACCATAGCCCATGGATACCTGAAACAAAAGGGGTGTCACGTGCGCGTTGCCGACTCTTAAGAAATTTTAATATACCATTCTTGAAAAACCCGATGCCGTAGTCTCCCGAAGAAACCTAGGCAGGTAGTTAATTCCACAATCTAAGTATACGCGAGAGGAAGCTCCTCTGAAACCGCTTTATTTAACACGTTAAACGCCATTGTAAAAATAACAAAAATACATTTTTTTTTGACGAAATAAAAATCCTTTTATGACATCGGTAATAATTAAAACGTATTTATTTTTTAATTTGGGATTGAAATTTTTCATGAAAATAGAAAATTCATTACGGATACCAGTGACCACCGTAGCGCTGGACAAAAACACATTTTCTAATCGCGTGCGCCGCGAGGTCATGAGAGAGTATTGTTGAGCGCCGATCTGGTGATTCTAGTACTACAAATGTATGAAAAAATCACGCGCCGGCGCTCAACACATCTCTAAAGTGACGTCACGGGTGACATATGCGGCGCAAAGATCCAGACATTATGACGTCACCGGTGGCATATATACATGGCGTTTAACGTGTTAAATACAATTTGTACGACTAAAACAGCGCCATCTAGTCTTAAACTAATCAGAGCTTATACTATATTTGTTTGACTAACGACTCAAAGTTCAGTAGCATCGTCTATAAGTGTACCGTGAGTATTGCGTGTCGCGATATTTCGTCGGACAATCTAATGGCGGTAGTTGAATAAACTGCCGGCATCTATCAACATTGACATCTCTCATCACAGCTCGTGGAGCTGACTGGAGTAAGAGAATGTGGCTAGTGCAACCTAGTCGACATGAGAGACCTCTTTACCATAAAATCCGTGGTAAAACCAGTTTAACTCCATTAATATTGTGTTCTAAACACGAAAGTATAAAAAATTCTAAATTCATATTCAAAATTTCTTTATTCATGTAGGTCTATTACAAACTCTTATGATATAACAAATCTACCGTCAGTTCGGAATGATTTCGAGATGAGAAGAACTGACAAGAAACTCAAGTCGTTTCAAATAAATGTTGTACATGTTTACAATAATACAGAGTCATTTAAATTCCAATATGGAAGAAAAGAGTGACCACCAGCATATGCTATTGCAAAAAATTTAATCAGTGTTCGGAACCTGAACAGACCAGTCCCACAAGCACCATCCGTTCACGAGTATGACGGATAATAATTAGATACTAATAATTGGATAATAATTAGTTTCCAAAGCGCCATCTAGATCAGGCATAAGCAGAGCTTGTATTATGGGTATTTAACAACTGATAGAAATACTATTATCATCATCATCACTTCAGCTCGGAAGACGTCTACTGCTGAATACAGGATTCCTTCCCTAAAAACTTCCACGACGATCGGTCCTGCGCTGCTCGGAACCAACGCTTTCCAACGATCTTGACCAGATGTCAGTCCACCCTGTCGGAAGCCTTTTCCCGCTGCATCTTCTGGTCCGCGGTTGCCACTTATGGACTTTACTGCTCCAGGAAAGAAATAATATATTGAAATATAAAATCTTAGGAGACCTAGATTTGGACAAAATGGAAGTAGAATAAGGTAATGTAGATTGGAATGATTGTAATATTCTTACTAAAATACAAATGTTTGTATTATGCGAGGAATCGAACCCACGACCATAGGAAGTGAGGTATGTTAACCGCTATACCAGCGAGGCCGTCAAACAATATCGCTTCCATTCTGTTCATATCTGCGTCCCCTAAGATTTTACAAACTCAAATCTCGTCTTCGCAACAAATCGAATAAGTGAACGGCGCCTCATCCGAATACTGAGTGCGATTCAATACGAATTCAATTCCGATTTAAAAGCGGGGCCGGGTGTCTTCGCCTCCTATAGACGTCTATTAACGTACCTATATACTTCGAGTTAGTGTTGCCACTCTTTACTTTAAGAGAAATTGTTTTCTAGAAGGAGCATTGTGCGGTATGTATCATCTTACTAATCATTACATAGTATAAAACAAAGTCGCTGTCGCTGTCTGTCCGTCCCTATGTATGCTTAAATCTTTAAAACTACGCAACGGTTTTTTAATAGATAGAGTGATTCATGAGGAAGATTTATATGTATAATACATGTACATCCGTGCGATGCCGGGGTGGGTAGCTAGTAATCTATATATATATATATATATATATATATATAAATGAATTACTGTTCGTTTAATAAAAAAAAAATGTTTTCTGTCTGTTTATTCTTTCTAATTTCTGAAATGCCTAGATAGATTTTGGCAGGACTTTCACTCGTAGATAGCTAATATTATAAGGAGTAACTAGTCTACTTTTATTTTAGAAATTTCTGCTATTTTAATAAAAAATAAGTTACATTAAAGATATGACAAACTACTAAGTCGTTTTGAGGTTTGATGTATGTATTTTTGTATTAATTTGTGTGAGAACGAAAAAAAATATATGAATGTTTAGGTAATATGTGTAAAAATGCCTAATGTTATTCAAATACATTAAACTAGAACCAAAGTAATCACTGGGATTGTGCTAAAAATCTATAAAATCCTTTAATCCCGGCCACTGTGCTAGAAATGTTTAGGATAGCTTAAATTGTTTTCCTCGCTTCGAGCTTAGAAATTCGGTTTAGTTTTAAGTACAATGTTATTAGTTGTATAGCCTTTATTAACAAATATAATTAGATACAAAATAAAGACCCGACGACCTCGCTGCTGTAGCGATTTAATACATTGTCTTACTTCCTATAGTCCCAGGTTCAATTTCTTACGCTATACAAATCTTTGTTTTCATGAGTATGAATGTTTTTATCGGTCTGGGTGTTATATATGTATCTAAATATATATAACTCAAAGGTGACTGACTGACATAGTTATCTATCAATGCACAGCCCAAATCACTAGACGGATCGGGCTGAAATTTGGCATGCAAGTAGATGTTATGACGTAGGCATCCGCTAAGAAAGGATTTTGATAAATTCCACCTCTAAGGGGATAAATTAACGCAAGCGGAGCCGCGGGCCAAAGCTAGTTTACAATAAATGTTCCTATTTATTTATATCAGTTTTATAGTACCCATAATAGAAGCGTTGCTTAGTTTTGAGACTAGATGGCGTTATGTGAATTGTCTAGGGAGATATTATATTATTTGTATTCATGAGAAAGGTATTTGTTTAGAGGCTATTACAGTTAGGATTCTTACAGTATATATAATAGATAAATGACATGTTGTCTGTACGTCAGAAATTATTAATGTGTACTGAACAAACTAAATGAAGAAATAACATTATGTTAAAATATCAGTAACAAACCTCAATTAAATAATATATTTCATTTCATTTCAACCAACATCGAAACATGATACAAGATTAAAAAAAAATATTGCTTAAAGACGTGTATGTCTTCTATCCTGGTATGTGTCTGTCTATCCTGGTTCAACATTAAAATTTCAATAAGGCTTTATAAAAACTGTTCAAATATGCAAGTAGTTTCCGCTATAAAAATAAACTATATAAAATGTCAAATAATCTTTAAAATTCAAATTCATTGCAAAACAAAAGTTACTTTTATTTTGTCTTAATTAATTAAAATGGTATGTCAATTAACATATATGTAAGTATGTGTATTCATACATATATAATATGTACCTATACATAGTTGTATATATGATATGTATAAGGTGACACGGTAGTAATAGAAACAACTGTTATGCACAAGTACTGGTTTATTACTAACTGTGTTTGAGTTACAGGCTCTCTAACATTATTAGGAGGTAGTCATAATAATAGTGGTAGGTAGGTTGCTACACATCATCTTTCCACCCTAATTTTGAAACCTGTTCACGAGAAAAAATTTACATTTATTAAGTACGGCTCATTTAGTACATCTTACATTACAATAATATTCTTACACTAGTCTTACCAACTTAACTAACTTACTTAAAATATACAGTATAGTCTACTTTCTTTCGGGGCCTTTTGGAACGTCCGGGTGATGATTGCATAGACACCGGTTGAAAAGTAGATGTGGCATGCGGTATTTGAGCCGCGGATTCTTGTTGCGTCGAATCCTCATCCACACGTTCCGTAACCCTACAGTCACTATCATCACAAAGAACCCTATTTTCTTCATTTGAGGGCAGTACCTCGATATTTTCCCCCCTCATCACTACAGAAGGTTTGGGATCAACCAACTGTTGTGTTTGTGACACAGTGAGGGGTGGTGAAAATGAAGAAGCACCGTATCCGTACACGGAACGAGCTGTACTATTCTCCGGCTTTTTTTTACAATCCATATTTATTTTGCCTTTATACTGTAGTATTTGGTCCAAGTGTCTAATACATTTAGTATTTATATCGTGAATATATATCTTAAATAACCTATTCCCAATAATTTCTTCGACTACGCCTACTTTCCAATGTTCCTTCCTAGCGCTATACCAACGTACCAGTACCCTGTCACCCTTTTTAAAATGTCTGCAGTTTGTTTCAACTACGTCATTATTATTATCAGATGTTTTTCTTACTTTAGGAAGTATTAAATCAAGTCTTGATCTTAAATTTCTACCAAACATTAATTTTGCGGGTGATTGACCTGTAGAACAATGTATAGTATTTCTGTATTCGAACAAATATAATTTTTCCTTTAGATAACAGTGGTTTAAATTTTCTTTTAAAATAATTTTTAACATTTTTTTGCAAGTTCGAACAGAGTTTTCCACTTGACCGTTACTACATGGGTGATAAATTGGTGACGTAATATATTCAATACCATTACTGGAACAAAAATCTTTAAATTCTTTACAGTTTATTTTAACATCATTATCCGAAACTAATGTGTTAGGTATACCGAACACTGAGAAAATCTGTTTTAATTTTATTATGAGTGCTTGAGTACTGACGCCGGCATTCATATGAATACACTCAAGCCATTTAGAAAATGCGTCGATTACTACTAGGGATACCCGTTGCCCTATAAACAGGTAGTCAATGTGAATGCGACACCAGGGCGCGGGCGGCCGCGGCCAGGGCGCGGGCGGGGCGCGAGGGGGTGAGGGGCGCACACTCATGCATTGTTCGCACGCGCCGCTCCAGTGTTCGATATCACTGTCTATACCTGGCCACCACATTCTACCGCGCGCATTACATTTCATTTTCACTATACCTAAATGTGTACTGTGTAACTCCTGCAACATTCTTTCACGCAATAATAAGGGAATAACTACCTTATGACCTCGCAATAGCACACCATTTTCAAATTGTAAATCAGTTCTACATAGAAAATATGGAGTAATACTTTTACATTTAATTTTTCGCCAACCGACGTTCATATATTTGATCACCGTTTGTAATGTTTTATCATTTTTAGTTGCCTGTTCCACATCGTTATACAACACCGCCGACGAGGTCGCGTCTAAAAAATTTATGGCACTGTATGCGTCGAATTCTTTGTCGCTTTTGCATACTACATCTGAAACCGGCGCCCTGGAAAAATAATCCGCCACCACATTTTTTTCACTGCTAATGTACTGAACGGTGTAATTATATGCCGATAGGATAATCGCGTATCTTTGTAGACGTAACGCTGTCGTGGTCGGAATACCTATTTTACTATTAAATATCGAAACCAGCGGCCGATGGTCCGTCTTAAGAACGAACGGGTTACTTCTACCATATAAGTATCGATGAAAATGTTTTACACCGAATATTATCGCAGTGGCCTCTTTCTGTATTTGGCTATAATTCCGTTCGTTTTTTGAGAGTGAACGGGAACCGTAATCCCAGAGGGCGCTCCCGAAGTGTCGAGTTGCGATAATACCGCCCCGAGACCGGTGGGCCCGGCGTCTACGGTAAGTACAAGCCGCGCCTCGGGATCAAAGTGCGCCAGCACCCGTTCCGATGCAAGTTCAGCGCGTACGCGGCGCAACTGCCGCTCGCCCCAACCTAGCGCCATCTCTTAACAACTCGTGAAGTGGGCTCATTATACTCGACGCGTTCCGTATAAAATTTCTATAGTAATTAACTATATAAGAACCTTTTTACTTCTGTGACATTAGTGGGTTCTGGGGCGTTCATTATAGCTTTTACTTTTTCAGGACTTGTACGTAAACCAGTTTTATCAATTACGTAACCTAGATATGTTATATTTTTTTTTAAATTCACATTTGTCCTTTTGTAACCTTAACCCTGCGTCGTTTAATATTCTCAATACTTGTTCTAACCTTTCTAAATATATATATGTCATCTAACCATATACTGATACCATCTATGCCTGACAGCAATATTTCCATTGATTTTTGGAATACAGCAGGTGCGTTAGCGAGACCGTAGACGAGACGCGTATATTTAAATAGCCCTTTCGGTGTATTTATGGTTGTTAATACTTGTGAGTCGTCGGACAAGATAAATTGATTATATGCGTTTTTTTGGTCAATTTTGGAGTATTGTTCACCCCCACCTAGTTTTGCAAACACCTCCTCAATCCTCGGTAAAGGATATTTATCAATTATTAAATCTTTATTGAGTGTAATAGAGTAATCACCGGCAATTTTTTACCGTCGTTCTTCAACACCGGTACTATAGGCGTTGCATAATTAAAAACTGGAACTAATATACCTAATTTTACAAGTCTATTTAATTGCTTCCACCTTATCTTTTAGGGCAAAGGGTATGGTACGAGCTTTAAAAATTTTGGCACGGCGTTTTCCTTCAATTGTAATTGAACCCTAAACTTATTAAAACTACCCAGTTCATTTCGCCACAAATTAGGATATCGTTCCAGCAATGTGTTTACATTATCATCCTGACTCAACTTATTAATATTTGTAGTCAACATCAGACCAAAAGAGGACATAAAATCACGTCCCAGCAGGGGTGGGCCGTTTGAATCTACTACAAATATTTTTAACGGTTTGATTTCATTATTAAATGTAGCCTCACTCACGAAATGCCCTAATGGCGCAATTTTATGTCCATTATACAAACACATTTTAATATTACTATGAATTAGATTATGCATCAAAAACTTATCGTTGTACATATTTTTTGATATTACTGATACCCCCGACCCCGAGTCTAACTCCATAGTCACCATTTTATTACTTAATAATAAATCTATCTGGATCGGCTTATTATTAATTACATACCTTAAATTAAAGTTATGACACTCGCCACATCCGGTATCACTATCCGTATCATTATTTTCGTTTTCGATTTGGTTTACATAAACACTTTTATTTTTTTTATTACACATTTTTTTTAAATGCCCTTTTTACCGTACTTTTGGCACTTGTAGTTTTTATAACGGCACTTATCTTCGCTGTGGTTTTTTAAACCACACACTAAACAATGTAAATCGCGTAAAATGTTGATCGCGGCCCGCTTGTGATGCACACGCCATTCGTGAATTCATCCGCCATATTTACTGCCGCCACTGTTTTCGCCGCCATTTTTTCTACCTGTTGAGCTGTGCGATAGTTTATACATGGCTTCTTCTTTTACAGCCACCGAGTCTGATACTAGGAACTTCGCATCTCTAGCACATTCTGCCTTTTCCGCTATTTCTATAGCACGAGCTAACTTCAACTCGGAAACATTTTGTTCAAACAACTTGTCACGCTCGGGGCCAGACCCCAAGCCTAGGACGAACCGGTCCGTAAGGTTTGTGTCCAGGGCAACACCGAAGTCGCAGTAACTTGCTAATCCTCTTAGTCGTGCTGCCCAGTCCCCCAGCGACTCGCCGCAATTTCTTGTGGCGCCGTAAAATTTTGCTCTGTCAGCAAATGAACACTGTTTCGGTTTAAAATGGCTGTCGAGTAACACCACCAGTTGTACAAAACTCAGTTCCTCCAATTCTTCACGGTAAGCTAGGTTACGCACGAGACGGTATGAGTTGTCTGATAAATGCGTAATCAGTATTGCAGATTTATTGTCCTCCTTCACATTATTCACTTTTAAAAACTGGTCAATCTACCTTTAAAAATAGATACTCACAGTTTTTATAGTCAAAGATTAAATTTCCTATAAAAGACATTTTTAATTTTTATTGCAGGTAAGATCGTCCTCGTCGCCACTGATATGTATAAGGTGACACGGTAGTAATAGAAACAACTGTTATGCACAAGTACTGGTTTATTACTAACTGTGTTTGAGTTACAAGCTCTCTAACATTATTAGGAGGTAGTCATAATAATAGTGGTAGGTAGTAGCTACACATCAATATAATATCAAAATGTAAATTTATTTTAATTAAAAAAATTCCTTTACGAGAATAGAATGGAAGTAATATTTTTTTACAGGGTCAAAAAGTCATCTGTTATACTTACAGTAGTCCAAATCCCTTATTCTAAATGTGGACTATACGAATGTTAGCTCACGATCGCCATTCGACTCCTGACTGTTTAGACGAACGTGTCCAGAAATAGCAATACGAAGATTTAGTGTGAGCGAAAGAGATAACAAATATGCGTTTTAGAAATACAAATGTTGTCATTGGTTAGGGTTGTCACGCGGAAAATCGTTAACGACATCTAAGATAGACTTTGTATAAAGTTATGAGTGAAATTCCAGATTTAGGATATCCAAAAGCCTTATTATCGGTTTACTCGCATCAATACTCTAATAGACTAATGAGATTGAGCAAAACATTACGTTATCTGTGGTAATACTAATATATGCTTAATGATTAGGGCCCACAGTGGTTACTGCAAATTAAATATACATATGGCAAATCTAGGCCATGAAGCAAAGATTTGCAAATTTTGCCAAATGGAAGAGCCACTACACATCCTACGTGGTTGTAGCCCACTCATGCATAAACGAAATATCTCTTTTGGAAAGTACACACTATCCTGAGGAGATAAAAACCATCGCTCCTAAACTAAACTAAACTAAAAAAAATATCCTTCAATTCTTGTACCTAACTGGCCTAGGTAGCGAACTCTAAAAAAGAACATAATAGATATATGCAGATCTCAGGATGATATGTTTTCTTTAGGACCGAGTAATAGCCCAAATACTTAAAAAAAAAAAAGTACGTAAGTATAAGTAGTAAGTATAATAGACGATTATATCAAAAATAGAATGAAAAAAAAAACAAATAGTTTTCTGTGAAGAAATGGAAAATACAAAGAGGTAGCAACCCTAATATTGGTTGGTGAAAAATCGGACAGAGCCGAATTTTCAATGTTTGGGACGAAGAAAGAGTTTCCGAGTCGATGGTGATGAATAAATATTGACGAATTATTCATTATTGTTGATAGTTTAACAGATAACTGAATAATAACATGAAGAATAGGAAGTAAATCCTATCCATACTACAAAGTTTTGAAATTTTGTGTAGAGTTGTTTCTATACCTGCAGTTATAAGATATGGGCGCAATCGGTTTGCCACGAGTAATGGTTCAAGAAAAGATCTAATTCCTTCTAAATCTAGTAGGTTCTAGTGCTAAAAGTTCGTCGACGCACTTGCAATTCCCCTGGTCTTGCGAGTACTCATGGGTGGCAGTAATCACTTACCATCAGGTGAGCCGCAAGCTAGTTAGCATAGAGCATAACGGATGCTATAAAAAAATTTGAATGAAGATGCTACTAATATCGCAATTAATTATGGTAAAGCAGACGAAATCACGGGCAAATACTAGTAAACGATACGTAAGTAACACGAAATAGAAATTCTACCTGGACAGAGTATTATACTAAGTTATTGTATGAACAAAGTTGGTACAAGATTGTCTCGTTGTGAAACTTCCTACATGTACTCGGTATAGTAATTATAAGTAGGTAGTCCTTTGGGTACGCTCACAAAAAGGCCAAGTTGTATTGTTTAATTCAATTTCATTAAGAATATAATTAAATTTATTTTTGTCTAGTGCACTGTGACTCACACACCACTTTCAGTGTCACGAAGTTTTGGGTTAACTGGAAGAGATCTCTTTTAGAGATAAGTCCTTCTTTGCTAACAAAATTTCTAACATGTATTTGAAATCTTGTATTTAAGAGTACAGTACTGAATATAACTATATATATATAATATATATATATTTGTCATTTTAATTTAAGTAATTAAAATGACAAACAAACTGACGACCCACCAAGTAAGTAGTAAGTGATAACCAACGCCTATAATCTGAATAGCACTACACACATCACCTTATCATATGACGCCCTCGTTACTCCTTATACGTTACCATTCCAGTGGACTAAGATGCCATGCCTCTTATCCTGTAATTTCATCGCCTAATCTGAGAAAACAGTATAACCGAAACTTACAAAGTAAAACTGCTCTGCGACTGAAATAGGTGAGACTGAGGTATATAGATATCTTTTTAATGTCTACCTATAAAGGTAAATAGGTGTGATATGTGATGTGTAAATAACATATACTTAGTGACTATTACTATTTAGGGACTATTGGTCAAAAGCATTACTCGTTATTAATTCGATAATATTCTATTATTAGTAATATTATAGTTAATTAGATGACCCCGAAAATGTTGTTTTGTCATATAAAAAAATCGCTATTAAAAATAGGGGTTGATGGTAGAAGGGTGAAAATTTAGAGTTGTATGTATTTTTAATACTAAATCATAATAAAATAAATTTAGAAAATTTCATCCAAAAATAAAAAAAAATGTTTGGGATGGTCAACCTTTAACACTTAGGGGTACGAAAAATAGATAATAGCGACTCTCGGATGTACTGTATACACAATTTCATAAAAATCGGTCTAGCCGTTTCGGAGGATTATGATATACATCATACATATGCATATATACATCATACATATATATTTATACATATGCTAACATTGTGATAAGAGAATTTTGTATATAAGATTCGTTTCTATGTAACAAACTCTTAAATTGAAATATTAATAGACAAGACCAATGTAAGAATATAGAAGACTTGTAAGAATTAAAAGAAAACTCTTTCAATTTAAACAATATTTTATTG